AGAGCATCATCAAAGAATTTATAGAATATTTTGTTTAAATAGAAATGTAAATATAATCTTATGTTTGATTTATTTTATGATTTTTATTAATTATTTTAAAAACTTATAAAATATATTAAATAAGAATTTATGTATAAATTTTTAGTTTTTTAAATAAACTATTACAAAGAAGCTATAGTACATAAATGTATTGTGCTGAAGTCATGTTTAATACTACCCAATATTAAAAAATGTCTTAAAACAACAACAATAGTATTAGAGACATACATATTTACCTAGATTTAGAGAAGTTAGATAGAAATAAATAAATATAAATAAATTTGATAATATCTTATAGAGAAGCTTCATAGATACAAATTTGACTTTATATATTTTTTTAAGTGATAAGTATGTTGAAAACTTGGCTTATAAGTTTCCCATGTGTTACACATGTTGATTACTTGTGGTAGAAATTTGCCATGTAGCACACATGTGAAACTTGTCTTGAAAGTTGGACATGTATTGGAGGTCCTAAAGAACGTTGCTACATAGCTTCTAATTAGATAGTTTATATGGGGACAAGAGTAAAGTTTTTTTTCACTCTTGTCAATGCCTTTCTTATTCTTAATCTTATTTCAAGAAATATTAGTCTTCTTGTCTTTGGCAATAGTTATTCTTGTTTTAATACTATACTATCTTTTGAGTAAATATGTGCTCTTTTCAAGTGACACAAGAGTGTATTGATATTTTGGTTGTTTGTGATTTGTGTCCTGGACAAATAATTCATAAAACAATATTAGTAATGCAACTATAAATCAATTTTTATTCAAATACTTGTGTAATTTGAATATTTTCTTTAGATCTTAAAATTCATATAGAAATAAATACTAACTTATAATTGCATTGTAAATAAATAAGAGAACCAAAAATTAATAACTTTACTTCAAACATGATATATATATTATTTTTAATTTATTAAAAATCAGACAATCTACATGAATTAAAAAAACAAAATCCAAAAGATTGAGTAAAAGTGTCGAATATTTGCACAAAATAAAATAAAAAAAAACAAAACAAAATTCCAACTATATAAATATATAAAAATAATATTATAAATTGGACAAGTTATTTTTTAAATTATATTTTAGAAATAATATATATATATATATATATATATATGTATGTATATAATAGATAAATTATACCTTACTGTAATATTTTATTTTTTATTTTATTTATAAAAAAATAAAAGGATAAAATAAATTAAGCATTAAAATTTTACATGTTTATATATCAAATAAAGACTAATTTATTTTCTTGCAAAAATCTCAATAGTATGATTGTAATAAATAAAAAAATTGATATATATATATATATATATATATTAATAGAAGAATAAAATAAAAATATTTTTTTATTAAGAAAATTAGTTATAAAATAAAATTAGGTAACAAAAATTATAACTTATTTTGAATTTTAAAAGAACATATTAGATATATGGTGTTGCTAATGCTACCATAGTTTTTGCTATTATTACCACAACCTATTATTATTAAATTTTAAAATATTTTTTTATTAAAATTTAATTAATATTCATATAATTTTTATTTTTTTTAAAGTTCTAACATGAATTTTTGTTGGAATTAAAAATATGAAAAACAATATGTCTAGTAGATAGCAGATTGCAATTGCAATAATAAAAACTATTTTGGAATGTGGTAGATGGCAAATTGTGGTAGAATTAGAAATATTATATTATATATATATATATATATATATATATATATATAACCATGTTTATAATATTAAAAAAATGAATCAAAAAATAATTATGGAATGATATTGAAGTTTGTTATATTTTTAAAATATTATAAATTAAGTGTTTATATATACATATATATATATATAGTATTGATGCTTTGATTGACATATTTAAAATTTAAATAATTTAATAAATCACAATGCAATAACTTATAATATACGCTTTAGTTCAATATATCTAAGATGTTGGTAGAAGTCATTGTAGACATCAATTTCAACATGTGGTTTGATTGAAACTAATATGATTGCAAAGCTTGTAAATAAATTAAACTTACGTTACAGTTTTTAAATAAACATGCTATTTTGGATCACGTTGAAGTTATTAGAAGTAAGTATTTAAATCACATTATATTTACAATCATCAAAACTTATGTGAAATTACTTTGCAGTGACCATTTTTTAGATCAGTACTAAATAGACTTTGACGAAAACTATATTAGAATTTTTTATCACAAAATTAAAAGAATTCAGTTTTACACTGTAAACTCAAAAGATTATATCTATCAATAGTTTGGAAGTATTCCACATTAAAGAAGAATTAAAAATTTTACCGTTCAATCTTACCAAGGAGGATAATAATTTTAGTTGAATGATATTAATTCTATAAAATTTTTCATTATTGAATATCAATGATAAAAATATGAAGTTATTTTTTTTTATTTTTTTTATTTCTGCACAATAATACAAGAAAATTTTGCAAGCTTTTTAATCATGTTAGCTGTTTTCATACTTTCCTGTAGCTTACGAGGCCTTACTATAAAATATTTTTAAAAACATTGTTCATTTGAAAATTATATGAAAATTATATTAAGTTCAAAAACATGTTTAAAAAATTCCACAATTGTACAAAGTATAAGAAATAAGGAGAGACTTGAATATCAAACAACACAAATTATTTTATTATTATTATTTTATAATTTTTTATTTATAGTTACATATAGTTACATTATTTTTACCGAAAATTCATCACCTTTTTTTTATTCATAAAATCCTCAATATATCAATAGTGTATCATATTATACAAATATTTTATCATTGAGGCTATGATCACTAGATTATACCAAACTGGTAGTAAAGACTGTGGCAAAAGCAACAAAGTTTAAGCTAAAAAAGCATCATACCAACATGTACATCCAGCTCAAAAAGATCATATTTGTGCTACATCTCAAATTAGGATTTAACAACAAAAATTTAATTTAATCAAACAACATTGTCTAATACATGTTGCAATTGAATTATGGCTATACAACCAACATGTAAGAATTATCACAACAAATGTGAGGTAACAATTTAAATTTCTTTGTAATTATGGAATAAATAACACGTTTCCATTCTAGTTGATGAAGTCAATGAATTCTCTACACTAACTGAAAAGCTATGCTAGTTTTCAAAAACATATCTTATTCTAGTAATATACTACCAACATGAATCTCTATACTTAAGTAAACTAACCAAAGACATGTTGATAATATTCACTAGTGTGATCAAAATTAATATTTTAAAGCACTGCCAATCTTTGTTGGAGTTGTAAACTTGGGGTATCTTATTGAAAAAAATTATATAAAGTAATAGGTCTCTTTACTTTACCATGTTTGGTTGGATAGTTAACCAATTGATGAAGGGGAATGTTAAATAGACCCAAGTTTTTACTAAATCGACCCAACCATCTTAACCATCATGAAAAAAAAAATAACAACATTTAAATTCATTTCCCCAATATTGGATCTCCAACCAATAAAAAACCAACCACATTGATCATGATTACCATATTCTTCATCAAGGGTGGGTCTATTTAACATTCCCCTTGATTAATAGTTTAACTAACTAACAAATTGATCAATTAGCTAACTAACAAGTTTACTTACCAATTGTTACGACTAAATTGGTTCACCACTTTATCCACCTGGCGAGATTATTTAACCAAAAACTGGACGGTGGACATACACAATTACAATAAAAGCATTCCTCCTCTCCCCCCAAATATGATATTTTCCCCAAATAAGAACAATATCACGCGTGAATCCCGTTGATTTTTTGAATAACTTGGAAATTAAAACATGTGCACCATAACCCTGCTTTCCGGCGCTCCGTGGAGAAATAACAGAAATACAGGAAGGCTCCTGGTTCACCGGTTAGTTGCACGCGCAATCTCAAAACATTGCGAGCAGACCAATTTTCCAGGACCCACCAGACCAAGTGGCCGAAAAGGATGCAGACAGCACGCTCGAAGCTGTGAATAATTTGTAGTGCTTTGCGTGTGGACCAGGCTTCGATTCGCTGAACCACCAGCAGCAGCCACTTGGATCCTGACCCTGTGCGTCCAATCCCCAATTCCTCCCAGTCTCTTTTGGTGAGCTTCGTTGCGACTCGATGAACAGCCATTTTTCGCCACAGAGAGTCCGGGCACGCCCTGAACGCCAGTGTCGATTCGCCGTGAAAACGCAACCCCTTTCTGAAAACAACAAGAGACCCTGCAAATCCACAAGCTCGTTGGAACACCACAAAATGTTTGTGGTGATAGGGGAGTGTGTTTCCAACCCGACCTCCTGGTTAGCAATTATTGGCAGCGGCAATGCAGGATAGCTTCGAGTGTGCTGCTTTCTTCGCACCTCTGAACTGGGAGGGCACATGGCAGCCCTCTGCAGTGTGAGGATTTCTGACCAGCTCCAGAAACTTAATCATACCTTTGGCGCCCATCAACTGTTTTCGCCAACGATTTCGGACGTCGTAAATGTGCACAAAACAAAGCATAAAAGCCGTTCAAACCCCACGCAGAGAATAGAGTGGGTGTGGAGGGGTGTTGGGCGGGAACGAGAGAGCGTGCCTGGGGAACAGCGTTCCCATCCAAAATCGAACCAGTCTGAATTATTGATTCCAGGGCACCTTTGCGACGCGACGCCAGCCAACATCTTCATCCAAATAATAGACGGATGTCGTCTATTTTTATCATCCACCCAAGGTTTCTCACATCCATTTGAAAGAATGAATGGTAACGAAGATAATTAAAAATACATTATTATGGTGGAACTATCCACAAATGTGTTGGCGTGAAGAATACGGGCATCGACTTGGCGAGACTGTTGACCCTGAAAACAGGGTTGCCCGGCTTGAGGGGGCGGGGGCGGAGGGGAAAGCCAGCGACCCGCGCTAACGAGGGGTTGCGGAGCACTATAAACGGCCGCTCTGCTGCCAATCAACTCGCTTTGGTGGTCTTCTCTCTCTTTAGTACAGGGTTGCTGGGCATACCCACCCTCTGCTCCCTCTTCCTCTCCGTAGTTTGGAGATTTTCTGTAAGCGCATTAGGCGAACGTCTTGGGAGATTTTCTTGAGGAGCTCCTGTGCAGAAGATTTTGAGTACATAGTGGAAGAGTTCTAGTTTGGAGCAGTCCATCGTGTGGCGCTTCTGATCGGGGTCTCTGCCAGGCGTTTGCTGTGCGGGAGGTATCGAGCCTTGATTAGTGTGTACAAGTAGATTAACGGTGTTTGAGATAGCTGGCATCTGATTAATTCTCGAATTCGTGTGTGTTTGCCCGAGCGTTCCAGTCAGCGTATCAGTAGTAATTTTACGGACATGGAGCACCATTTGGACCTGACAGTCACTTGAGTTCCTCTCGACGCATTTGAGCTCCGTTTGGTATCACCTTTGTTTCTTGCCTGGTAGGCACACATCCTTGCCTTGTCTACTTGTTCCTGGCAGTGTTTAATGGTGATGCTTAGTTGTTACAGCTGGACAGTATTTTCTCTGTGATTCTAGAGGTTCTGGTACTTCAGTAAGACTTAATAGTATCATGATGACACTTATTGTGCAGGTAGTTGGAGCGGCACCATGAATGCTTCCAAACTCCTCAAGGCTGTTCTACGGCCGCGGTCCATTCAGACCAATAGTGGCAGGGGGCCCGCTGTTTCAGATGGACCGTCTCCAAGACGATCGTTGTCTCCTGACAGCCGTCTACCCAAGGATTTTACATCGAAGAGGTCATCTTCACCTGCGAAGATGACGTGCATGTGCTCCCCGACAAATCATCCTGGATCTTTCCGTTGCAGGTTTCATCGTGCCCGAAAGCAGAGTGAAGTCGTTGCATTGCCAACTTCTCCCAGAAGGAAGTCTTCAGTGAGGGATTCTGACATTCTCAGTGAGGTGAATCGCACGCTTCCTGGCATGCTTCCTACGACCTGCAGGACTACCCCTGTCCGTTGCAGCAGACTGAAGAACATGAGCTTCGGAAGCGGTCTTGAAGAAGAGGAATCTGTTGCTCTCTCCTTTCAAAGGTATGCACAAACCATCGTCGCTGTTGCATACGAGTGGTTAAGTTTCCAATAGTAAATATGTCATTCGGGGTTACGGTCCTGATTTGTCGTCTTTTTGGTCCGCAGAGAGTATATGGGGGATATAGAGGGTTCAATGCTCAAAGGATTCACCGCATCAGCTCATCACAAGTCAAATCGTTCGCCTCCACGAACCGACAACAATCTTTCAAGGGAGCTTCCCACTATTTTTTGTCAGAGTACTTCGAAGAAGGCTTTGGAAGCTTTCGACCGCAACATGACGAGGATGTATCTGTGAATAATCATACGTGTAGATGTTCATTTTGTAATATGTTATTGAAATTTTGTATAACGAGTTAGCTACTAGTGCCCATCGCCCTGGTGCGATACTAAAACGGTGAAGTCCATAAGCGTTTCATGGGAGGAACATGGCACTAAGCGGGGAATTGTATAGGTTGAAGAGAGGGTTCGGAAAACAGGCGGTATTAGAACCTTAAGTCCAGGAATCGACGTATTTGTAGAAGGTTGCCTTGGACCATACACTGAGTTTATCTATATCTGGTAAGGACGAGTAGTTTCTTTGTGTGCACGTACGAGAGCATTATACATCGTTGAGCATTTCTTTGCTCTTCTGCATCCCAAACGTGCCCAGTACTGTGTTCCGTGGCACACACGCCGACTCTTGTTGGCCGTAACTTGTTATGTTGCCTTGCAGATTGACTGTTACATGGCGTTGGAACAAGTGCATTGGGAATCAGTTGTATGTACTGTCGAGATGCATGGTGGCTCAATCTTTACTCTCCTGAGCACTTACTCAGACGCCCTGTGTTTCGTCAGCACGAGATGTTCCATCGCTATCGTTCTCGCCAATCACAAGAGCATACCGTTGCAAGGTTTCTCATGGTTCTTAGCACTCTCACCTCACTTCAACTTCTCGGACTCCCCCACTATGTGCACCCGGTCGTCTTATTGTCTGTAAGACAATCTTTGTGATCCGTCACTACTTGATGTTGTGCATGTTCAAAGGATCTTAATGTTGTCATCATATAGGATTGATGATTGTGATAGTCTGTTATGTGGGATGTTCCTTGGTTACTATCTGTTTCTGTACTTCCTGTCATCTCATGCACATTTTTGAACATTTGTATTGATTCTTGTTACTCTGATGTTGCAGGTGTGTATTGGTTCACAATAGTATCCCAATTGGTGCGCGTGGATATATTCTTCGAATACTTTATAATCCTTGGTTGATTTGAACTGTTTTGTTGCCGTTGCAAACTCTGGTAACCTCCATCACATCTTTCAACTTCTTTGATGTGCGTAGCTTCATATCATAACCATCTGATTAATTGCCACCTTCTGCTTAGTGGACGTAATGCGTACAAAATGGATGTTGATTTTGTAGACAATGTCTAATCCCTGCTGTTCGTCCCTTCCTTTCGAAGCATCATTGGTTTTGACCTCGTGTCTGATACAGGTTCCTGAAGGAGGATGTGGATGACTTCTCGCCGGTCATGCATCCTTAGATGTTTCAAATCGATTTGTGATGAGGAAACATTCAGTTATATCGAGGAGAGACGTACTGAATGTTTTTACGAGGCCCTCCACCAGATCAGATTCAGGTTTGTTTAGAAGATTCCTGTATCTCAGATCGGGAGGATTATAATCCAATGAAACTATCACAGGTATGAGAACTCTAAATTGAATAAACGGGACCGCTGACATATGAGCTGAATATGTCCCATGCAACTTAATAATCTCTAAGACTCTGAAGATAAGCACAATTCAACCTCGGTCGAATAAAACACAGCCGATAACTAAGTACTAAATGTGAAGAAATGCTTCACAATAACAAAGAAGAAATTGTTATTTAAACACAACTACACTAAAACTGGAATTACTTCACATATACAATACTGTGGTAATACCCAACGGAAGAATTGTCGGGTGAGGCCTTAAAGAACTAATTGCAAACTCCAAAAACAGTTCCCTTGAAGAAAGTAAAGTGTAAAATGAAGCACTCCCTATGACAAAAGAATCATACGTGCTAAACGAAATGGACGAAAGAAACAGGTCATTCTGTTTGAGCCATGAAGTCACAACGGTGCACTCTAGACTGCAGAAAAACAAGAACCAGTGCTGCATGGGTCCGAGTAATAGGCAGTCTCCTGCAAAAGAAATATTCATCGGATATGTGGTCTGGTGGGGAGGTGACAGAATCTACAGAAGGAGATGCCATTTTGCAGCAAAAATTGCTGGACCCAGTCTGCTTTCCATAGGAGGGCAGCAATCCCTGCTTGTTTATCACTTTCTTCCCTGCCTGAATACCTTTTCAGAATACAATGGATACACCCAAACATACATTTATGCACAGGACCCAACTAGGGATATACCCACAAATTGCTCGGGACACACCCCTCTGACGAAAAGTGTCCAACCCTCAATTTCACAAGAAATCCCGTATTATGCCCTGTTGCTATTCCCGCTGCTAAAACCACTGCATTTTTTGCCTCCGTTTTGTGGCAATTCTCGCCAAACAAATTTTCACTATTGCATGCATTTCCTGCACCATCGGATAAACAGTATTGGACATCTGTTGGAAACCACCACATCACCACCCGATTTGGAGACGTTCACCATCTAGGAGACCCGCACCAAAACTGCCAACACTTTTCTTTGGGGTTTTAGGATGCCTTCAGAATCACCAGTTGTTGCAACAAGTCTTTCCTCCTAGGGATGACACAGAAAGGGCTTTCAACTAGTTTGCAACTTTGCAAGGCTACGCCATCTCTACAAAATGATCAAAGAAAAATTCCAAAACTCGACTCCAAAAAATGTACTACCAGTGCAATAGATGGACATACTGAAACCTTCATAAGTTGATTGAAGGCCAAAGGAAATGAAAGATTTCCGATTCTACCTGTGACTGTCCGTTCAAAGTGATCGCTTATGAGAAAGCTGATGGTAAGGGGGAGATTTTAGTTTCCCTAACAAACCACAACTATGAGCCTTCATCCCATGCATCAAGTCACATTGTACATCAACATTTTATCAAAGAGCAAGAGACTGTCATCCATGCAATGCTTGAATCAAGCATTTTGATCAAGAACATTCTCACTATGTTCCAAGAGGAAGATAACAACATCAACATCACAACCAAAAAACTTTACAACAGCATGTAGAAGATAACAAAGAACAAATGGACAAGAGGACTTTGCTTGATGTGTAGATTGATGTTTTCATGAAAAAAAACTACAAGATCAAATACAAGATGTATGCTGAAGAAATGATCACTAATCTTCTTTTTTTGCCCATCCCAAATTGATGGACCTTGTATGCATCAATCATCAAGTCATCTTCATTGTGTACTGCATTAACATCTACAACTTGCCAATGTTTCATGTTGTTAGATCCATTGTGTTCAATACCATGTTTTTTTACTATGTATGTCTTTATGAGAAGCAAAGAGATGACACAATTCCAAACTACAATAGAATACCTTTGTGATTTGTTTCATGCAGAGAAACTTCTAAACCTATTTGTTGTTGGTTGTAAACATGCTTTGTTCTTTGTCTTAGAAACCACGTTTTGACATGCTGTTATGTGGCATGATTTGTAATCTGGGAATACACAAGGTATCTAATTGTAGAGAGTTTAGCTTTGGCTTATATATGATGTCTTAGCTCCCAAAAACTCCTTTATTTGCACAAAAGTTCAAAATATAACAAAACCCTTTAAAATATTTTCTTCCGATAAAAGATATTTTTATCCTAAACTTTAAAAATTCATATCTCTTGATCCAACCAGTTAGTTTTTCTAAAACTTGTGTTTGACATAGATTCTATCCTTGAGCTTTACCACAAAACAAATGAACCGTAAATCTATTATTGATCTTCTGGCATCTAAGAAATCCTAACAGATGCTCTAAACCCTAATCTACAAGCACCTGAAAACTATTTTTCTTATATTTCAAAAACCCAGAATCCAATTGCCACTAAACTTGTATACAAATTTTGATTACATGAAAATACACATTCTTGGAAATTTTTAGTCAAAATCTTGTCAAATTGCACAAGATATAGTTCAAAACACAACCACTAGCAATTCGAGTCACTTATTACCCTTAGATTTACAAGCACTGACTTCAATCTCCAATATCTCCTTTATTTAAACTTGCAATTTATCAAAAAGTTGCCAAAAGTGTAATAGAAAGAATTCTCTCTGCAACTCCAGTCACTAATCCTCTATTGCTTTCCGTATACTTGCGTTATACCCAAAAGAGTGATAGTAGGTACAAAATCGACACCTCGACTTGGAGCGCCTATATCTCCTTCATAAAAACTCCAAATGACTCAAAATTTGCACCAAAATCATAGCAAAAATTCTAAACTTGCTGATCCTAGCCTACAAAGGTCGAATGCCCCTGAAAGACTAACCCTAATCTCTAATATGGCCTCGGGCAGCCTCCTTGAAGTCCATTGGTCATGATTTTTGACCAATAGGAATGAAGATTTATATCATCCATCTCCATTCATTCATATGGGTGCCTTAACTACCTTTTTTTGCTACCAAAACCCCTCTTCGATCCCTTTTCATATAAGATTTACATATTATATGCCTTAAACACCAAATAAAAGAACCAAAATAAGACTTTAAGGATCACCAATATCTTACAAAGGTGACTCTAAATATTTAAAAGTTACTACTAATAAGATCAACTTCAAAGTCACTATCAAAAGAAAATAAAGTTATATAAATTCTAATAGAAGCCCTTTTAAACAACTTCTTTTTGAAATAGTAATCTATCCATATCTTATAACCAACAAAATCCACCAACATGGTTCTCACCATATTGTCTAGTATATTGTGTATTAAATATATAAATACATTATTTTCACATGGTAGCCAAACCACAACATGACAATGCATCTATTTTACTTTGAGTATAATGCAACAAGAATAATATTGTTAAAAATTGCAAGCAATATTTCAATAATATGGATATTTGAAATTTTTGTATGAAGGAATGGCATACAATATGGTGCTTGGTCTAACAGATTTTGTTTATTATTTTTTTTCTAAGATCTTTATTGATGGGCACTAATATACTTTTTTATATATAATGTATGCTAAATTCAAAGGATTTTTTTATCAAATTATGGACCACATTTAAGACAAAATACTAGCCTAAAACAATACGCATAAAAGTAGTTTGGTACCTTATTAATACTTAGATTGATTCTTTCTAAGGAAAAATTCTTGTAGCATGGATGAACCACCTCTATTATTTTGGACATGTTGTTACTTCTTATAGCAAAAGTGCATGTACTAGGTTGAAAACATATTTAATAACAAGCATACTTAATTTGTTATTGTGTTGTAAATACATTGATTAGTGAATCAACAACTACTTATATAACAACACTACTACCCTAATATACGAGAGGAAGAACTTTATGCTCTTTTATTTGGAAATGCCAAAAGGAGAGATTTTTCATAATGTTTTGGCATTTTTCCTTTTGGCATTTTTTCTTTTTGGCGAGAAAGTTTTTCATTTTGGGCTTTTAAAGATCAAAAAATAAACAAGTTGATTTTTTTTTCTTAAATATTCTTTAAGATTGGATGTAGTATGGCACATTTTGATCCACATGATGTCAAATTTTCAATTGTATATCATAAGGCACCCAATGCAACCAAACAATAAACCTTGTCTATAAATCTTGGCA